GGGATTTAAATGCGAATTTAAAATACCCAGTGTACAAATTAATATAAAATAATAATCAGTGCACTTTGCACTTGTACTTGCTTGCGACTGCAAAATTAGTGTCATATTGAATCTTCTCATTTCAGGAACTACAAAAATAACATGGATGTGCAAGACAATAAATTTCAGTGGACGTGGTTTATAGATTTTAATTTTTAATGATCTTATAATTATTTGCAACCTTAGACAGACGATTTTATAGCCCAAAAAGATTTAAATTTTGGGCGTGGTCGCGTAAAATTTTGTTTTTCCAAGATTGTGCACCCCAGAAGTAATAAACCACGAGCCGTCACTGATTTTAAGTAGTTTATTAGCATTTTGCTGGTGCACAGAAAGATTTATTCGAGTATACAATATTCTGAAAAACTTTAAACGATACCGGATGCGTCTCAAAAGTGGCTCACCCCTATAACTTTTTTATGTTATCAGATAAAAAAACGAGATTTGGTATGTTAGTATATGACATAAATTAGGATTGATTAACGTATTCAATTGTTTTCTGTTACTTCCTGTTTCACCGGAAATGACTACAACTTTTGATTTTTAAATGGCATCCTCGATATTTTTTTACTTTATTCGATAGAAAATGACATTTTGAATCGAATGATATATCATATTCATGTGAATTTTTGACGTTTTTGCTTAAAACAAAATTGAATTTTAATTTTCAATCTAGAGTGCCATGGCTGTGTTAATAACACTATTTTTTAATCAAGGAGCCTTCGAAAAATAGATTTGATCGTCTAATGTTTTTCGTATTTTGTCCTGGCCGGTTAAAAGATGCCCAAAACGTATTATTAATCATATCTCATTTTTATAAAATGGAACGAGTGTGGCTCATTAGCATATTTCGAAAAAGCATTTTTTTACGAATAATTTGATACCACACACTTGGTATTTCGAGTCAAATTCGTAAGTTTCGTTCAAAGTCGTAATGAATCGCCTGTTGCAATATCAAATAAACCATATTCGAAAATGTCAAAAGTTGACATGTCATTCTATTCAGAGTGTCATTTCCTATCGAACAAAGCAACAAAACGCCGAGGGTGCCATTTAAAAATCAAAAGTTGTAGTCATTTCCGGTGAAACAGAAAGTGACAGAAAACAATTGAATACGTCAATCAATCCTAATTTATGTAATATACTAAAATACCAAATCTCGTTTTTTTGTCTGAAAAAAATAAAAAAGTTATAGGGGTGAGCCACTTTTCAAACGCACCCGGTATGTTCAAATTTCCTGCACATACTGTGTAGCATATCATTTCTTAATTGATGAGTAGGGCACACTGTTTACTTATTTACATCACTCATTTTTATAAGCATTAATTAATATTGTTTGTAATCCATATTTACCGATATTTCATCAGATTTTACTTATTTACATCACTCATTTTTATAAGCATTTATTATTATTATATTTGTCAATATTTCGTCACCTTTTACTTATATACTTCACTCATTTTTATAAGATTTTCCTGATACAAATACCGTATGATCGAAAAAAGGCGTCAAAGACGGCTGGGGAATGATGATCGGTGATCATTTTGGCGAGGTCAATCTCTAGACATCATTTACTAAAAATTGACATGAAACTTAACACTAATTATAGATAGATGTTTAAATTTATCTAAAGAAGATAACGTTCGACCAATGTGTACTACCAGCGATGACCTATGAATGCGAAACCTGGACACATAAAACGACCACTATAAGCAAACTGCAGGTCTCACAACGCTCAATGGAACTAAATATGCTGGGAATAACCTAGAGAGCCCGTAAAAGAATAGAGTGGACACGACAAAAGGCCCAGGTAATAGATGTCATCCATAGAGTCAAAAAATGGAAAGGACAGCCAACAGATGGACCGCAAAATTACAACCGAAATGGTACCCACGAGGAATTAAGAGACCTAGAAGAAGACACCCCCTGAGATGCGACCCCGATATTAGGAAATTAGCAGGGATAACTTGGGCCCCCGCGTAGACATCAATAGACAACAATGGGCCCAACTACAAAGACAGTATGTGATGGAGGCTGCACCATAATTGGAAATTGTTGAGTAACCTGAAAATGATGATGATGATTATAATGATAGATAGATTAAAAAGGATAGACCGTTTTCAGACACACATCTATTTCAAAAAAATATTTTTTCTCGTATTTTAAGCTCTACACCACTTAAAAATAATTATTAGTCAATATAAAAATAAATAACAAAAAGCCAACTAAGGTAGTAAAGGCAGTAAGGGCCATTAAAAAAGAAAAATACAGGCCAAGTAGTGACCTCGCCAAAACTATCATCGATTGTCATTTCTCAGCCGTCTTTGACTCTGTTTTTTTTTCGTTCGTATGGTGTATTATTACACTGACTATAATATACTTCATAGACAATAGAGATCCAGCAGATAGATAATTTATTTTTCAATAAATACTGAAGTTTTTAATTAATTATCTTAAAATGAAATTTGACAGTTGTCATAAAAGTTACCGTATCTAAGAAAAAAACAAATAGGTATGTACAGAAATAACTAAAAGCTAATTAATCTCCTAAAACAAGTGAAACAAACAATCAAAAACATGTCAAATATATTTTTAAATATTTGTTTAACAAGGTATTGTTCTAAATGAAGAGCACATATTGTTTAAGTGATTCAAGAATAAGTTATGCAAAAAATAATACAGCTTCACTTATCTGTCGAAAGAATCTTGAACTTTCGATGTCTCTAGACTCTAGACCGGTAGTTGGTTGCTAGAAAAGGAAAGAGGAAAAAAAGTTGTTCTATGAATAATTAAGAGGCTATACCTGGTTAATTATCTGTATGCTATTATTTATATTTAAACGGAATACTTCTGTATAAGCTTTCATGTATCCATTAATGGTTTCTAAGTTTCTAGAGCGTCAGCAGTCAGCACCTAAATAGATCTGAGATTTTTTTGTACATCAAATGGCAATGTATGACAAAAAATTTGTAGCATCTTCCTTTCCTTCCCTTTACTAGCTATATTATTTTTAAAAACTAGATTACTATAACTGTTTTTGAAATGAAACTTCGCAATGAAATGAAACACGACTCGCGAGAGGAACAGCGGTAAGGACAGCCTACGGCTTAGAAAAAATTGTCCGATTTAAATGAAATTTGGTATGACGATAGATTAGACCAAGGCCAACTTGACGGTGTACGACACGTAGCACTGTGACAGTTTTGACGTAAGAAACGTCAAAAGTTGATGTCGCGACAAAATTTGATGGGTAGACTATTGACCGACGGTGCACATGTTCACACCCTGCAAAGTGGGATACGACGTTTCGTTTACATCTTCTCTTCACAGGTGCCATGAGAACATGTCCAACAGTAGCAAAGGAGGTCATTCTAGACCTAGCACCACTGCACATTGTCGTCGGTAGTTATGCCAATGATTACGACAATGATAAGAATGGTCATTGACGGAAACAGTACTGGGAGAATTTTCAGGTCAGGGGCTTGGAACACCCTCAAAAAGAAAATTCCACTTTTCCAACTCCCAGTGGATGACATACCAAAAATTTACAACTTTGAGAAACACCTCACTGTAGTATTGAGTAATAAAAAGGATTGGAAGGACTCAGCAAATAAAAGACCATACCATAACGTGGTATACTGATGCTTCCAAAACCAAAGCAGGGGCAGGGATAGGGTCGAAAACTAAATACTCCGAATCAATGGGCACCTACCCCAATATCCTTCAGGCAAAAATTTACGCTATCGAAAGATGCGTACAATTTATCTTACATAGGAACTATCGAAAACAGGAAATTGCCATCCTATCCGATAGTCAAGCAGAAGTTTAACGCGATCAACTCAGTAACCATCAATTCGAAGTTGGTCAAAGAATGCCTAGAGAAGCTCAACAAATTAGGCAAAGAAAATAAAGTCCTCCTACTGGGTGCCTGCTCACCAAGGGATAGAAGGCAATGTAAAAGCAAATGATCTAGCTAGGAAAGGAACGAACACTCCACTAACTGGACCAGAACCGTTCTGTTTTCCAAACGGGAACCAACTGAAAGCGGAACTGAAGAATCTGGAAGACTCCATCCGTAACTTGGAATGGGTGTCTTCCAGCTGTCTAAGACAATCGAAAAAGTTCCTAGAACTTATGACTGATAAAAATCAAAGGTTTTCCTTGATTTAAGTAAAAACAACGACCGGGGGGCCATGGCCAATAAATAAAAAAAGACCTCAACCAAAAACCCACAAAAAAAAACCATTGGAAATGCTTTAATAGAAATTATTTTTCGGGAAAATCAATTTTCTGCGTGCGGAAAATGTTACTTTGCGCACGCTCGTTTAAAAAAAATTTTCGCCTGCGGCGCTATTTTTTTCTCCGGTTCGTAACCTTTAACTTTGGCCCCCCTTATTAAAAAGCCTGCTCACGCCTATGTCACTGCCTTATTTACTGTTTTTTCTGTCGGTTTTGTTGTTTTATTTACTATTTTTATTGTTTTATTTACTTACTGTTTTGAGGCAATAAAATGAAACAAATTAAAAGCATTCTTATAATTTTATATTAATATACCATTGAGACCTAAAATCTAAAATCCTATTCAAATCGGAATACCGGTTCTTAAATATCTGGAATAAAATTGTTTATTTTTTTGAAATTTTGATGCCCTCTAACAGACAAACGAAGCACTTTTGTATAGAGGTAAATTGTGTCCAACTTATTTTGATTTCAAAAATACGTAGTAGTTCTATGTCCACGATATATTGGGATACTCTGTGTAAGTATCTATGTATATTATGCTATCCTGAAAAAAAATCAGGGTAACATAATAATTATTGATCGAAAAGATAGCTCATGGATATTGAACTGAGACAACCGGTATAGTGGTATATCCTCTTAACATGCGTTGGATTTAAGTAAGGTTTGTTTACTCTATGTGAATCAGTAAAGCTGTAATGTTTATTTTATTTATTCGGTAGGAAAGTGTTAATTTTCAATTAGTGAAGGATGGGCCGATGAGCAGAAGATAGTTCAGTCATCTTACTTAACTCGCGAGTTGGTGTGTTGGTGCGTGTGCTACAACGAAAAATAGCTTTCAGATAACCTTCTGGATTTAACCGAGGTCTAATCCTATCTCAGTGTAAACAGAACTCACCTAAATGGTTTTGGTCAATTGATACGTAAAGGTGAAAAACATGAAGGAAAAATTATTGTAAAAATATATCGGATTATTTTTTTTTTCGGAAAACTGTAGTGGAGTTAGTGTGTTTAAGAAAGTTGGACTGAAACCGAAAAGATGGTTGGAAAAATTGATTATTCAAGTGAGTAAAACTTTTATTACTTACTAATAAACAAAAAAATATAAATCGTTTGCATAACCTCATCACATACAGTTTGTCTTAATAAATAATAATAATTGTCTCATAAAAGCTTTTACTTGTTCTGAAATGGTTGATTCCGTCTATTTAGAAAAATAAAATATATGAAAATATATAGTCTAACGACAAAATCCATGAAAGTGGGTAGATATGTCTGTCATTTTAATTTCTAAGTAGTTTATTTTATTTTAAAAGAAATAAGTTGATAGACTTGGATTGCAAAACGGGACATATACAGGGTTGTTCACCACATACGACACGGAGTATTGTAGCTAAACGATGATTAGATTTTTGCAAACTATAAGTTTTGGGTTCGTTGAAGGACTATTAGAGCTACAATTTAACCCTTAACTGGTCCGGTAATAGATATGTATCATAAACGGTCCGGCGTAGTCTGTGGGACTACGCCTTCTAAAAAGTGAAAAAAAAACACAAAAACTAAAAAATAACAAATTTTTATTTTATTATATATTATATTATGTATTATTGAACTAATCTAGACAAAAATGGGTTCAATTAATATAAACTTTAAGAAAATAGAGTACAAAATAAAATAACATACATATAAATTTGAAAAAAAAACAATTAGATTTTTACTAAGCTCTAAAAAATAAAACCATATTACTAATAATCATTACAATATAGAAATATGTTTTTAATATTATATATAAAAAAATTAAGCTATAAAACTGAAGTTAAAGAAAAGGCTTTTAGTTACAGCATGAGGCAAAGTTCATTGTTTTCCAGAACATGTTTTACAAAATGGATTCGTACATTCTAGGCATTAAAAATAATGAAACTAGGACATAACATTGTCTTTAACTAGGATAAGAATATATCCGTGGGCGTGTTCTGGTTGTACAAGAATTGCAAGTATTCTACCAATTGTAAAGTATATTTCTCTTGGAATATTTGACATTGTCAAAAGCATTTGTCTGGCAGATTGTCATATTGTCACTGTCACAGTCCTCATCATATTATTTTAATAGAGTTTCTTCATAACTAGAGTTTCCTAAACGCACTCTTTTCGAAGGCCCAGTCATATTTTACAAAAGTTTGTTACACACAAAATCTTACGCAAACGGTCCGGCGTCGTCTGAGAGACTACGGCTTAAGTAACTTCTGCCATAACTTCTAAAAAACTAATCCGGTTTGGGCATAAATATGGCTATCAGTCGTTGACCGAGGGGGGGGAGGATTAGCTGGAATGCCAATCCAGTAGGCGGTCCCAGTAACTAATGAGAATCAGTTAATTATTTGGCGTAGTCTGTCAGACGACGCTGGACCAGTTAAGGGTTAAAAATACTTTTACAAGATACAGAGTGTCCCAAATAAGTAGAAAATATCAAAGTGTTATTTTTTTTAATGGAATACCCTGTATATTATTACATATTTAGTTTCTACGATTAAAATAAAGGTAAATTTGATTAGGGTTATACTTAGACCTTGCCGTTTTTGAAATATTTTCAATTTTGTGAAATTGCAGTAAAAATTTTAAGGCTTTATTTCTCCGAGGGTAACAAAGTTTTTAATACTAAATATTTATTGAAGTTTATTTATTGTTTATTTATTATATATTTTATTTTATCAGTTATTGTGTTGCAATAATAAAAATAGTACTACCTCATACAGAGTGTCTAAAAATTTATATTAAATAATTTCTAGCTTTAAACGGCAATAACTTGTTTAATTTAAATGGAACACCCTGTATATTTTAGGAGAATCAGTTGCGCAATTTAATTGTCTATTAAATTGTATTATACCATTTTTTACCCATCTCTTCAAAATTTCGTAAAAAAATGCATTTTCTTATAATTTAAACCTCATTTATCACTATACCCATGGAATATTTACATTTTAGATTATTTTTAAAGATGTAACAAATTTTTAAAGAGTACAGATACTAATATTGTCGATATAGTTCGTTTATTTCACTAAAAAATAAAAAAAAAACTGTTTAAATATCTGTTAAAGAGGACCAATTAATATGATTTTAGATTTTAGTATTCAAAGTACATTAATTGACTATTTGCGTTGATTAACAATAATTGCTACAAATATGAAAAAACTGAATTTTGTATGTGTATTAGACAGTGTGGTAAAAAGTAACACCTTAAAAATTTTATTTCGTTTTTTAACGAATGCTTATTTATAACAGCAGCGACGTTTATTTTCATAACTTATTATATACTGATTTCTGATTCAAATCCACATTTATTTAGAATAATTTATTAACACAATAAGGGGTAATCTAAGGCAATGTAATTAATAAATATTTGGGCGGAAATAATGGTGGTATATTTAATTAATGGTATACTCTTTCATAAATATTTAAATAGTTTTCTTTTTGTATAAAAATGGGCTAGTAATATTATCTTTTTTAGCACTTGTACAATTTGTATATTTGTTGCGTTAAAATCAATCTAACTAATACGTCAATTTTCCATATTGATAAATGAGGTCTAAATTATAAGAAAATTCATTTTCTACGAAAAGTTGAAGAGATGGTTAAAAAATGGTATAATACAATTTAATAGACAATTAAATTGCGCATCTGATTCTCCTGAAATATACAGGGTGTTCCATTTAAATTAAACTAGTTATTGCCGTTTAAAACTAGAAATTATTTAAAATAATTTTTTAGACACTCTGTATGAGGTAGTATTATTTTTACTATTACAACACAATAACTGATCAATATACAAACTTCAGTAAATATTTAGTATTAAAAACTTTGATACCCTTGAAGAAATGAAGCCTTAAAAGTTTTACTGCCATTTCACAAAATTGAAAATATTTCAAAAACGGTAAGGTTTAAGTGTGATAAACCTTAATCAAATATACCTTTATTTTAATCGCAGAAACTAAAAATGTAATAATATACAGGGTGTTCCATTTAAAAAAATACAACTTTGATATTTTTTATTTATTTGGGACAATCTGTATCTTGTAAAAAAAATTTAAATTGTAGCTCTAATAGTCCTTCAACGAATCCAAAACTTACAATTTGTAAAAATCTAATCGTTTAGCTACAATACTCCGTGTCGTATGTGGTGAACTGTATATATTTAAAATTTTAGTGAGATATGGGTTACTTCAAAATATTAAGAAAAAAACTGTATACAGGGATATTCACCTCATTTGACATCGAGTAATGGGACCATTGGAGGATTACTAAAGCAACAATTTAAATTATTTTCAAAAGGTACAGAGTGTCCCAAATAAAAAATTCAAGGTTGTATTTTTTTTAAATGCAACACCCTGTGTATATTATCACATTTTTAGTTGCTACGATTAAAATAAAGATAAATTTAATTAAGGTTTACCGCACTTTAATCTTGCTGTTTTTTGAAATATTTACGTTTTTGTGAAAATACAGTAACAATTTTCTTTAAACGAAACAACGATAATAGAATTATTATTATCTTTTAAATGGATTTACTGAAGAAACCAGAAGGTTTAGGTATAGGAACATGGTATATCCTTGAAAACAATTGTATTTGGGTTGCAATTTTTTAAATAGTATACATAGGCTTGAATTTAAAATAACAATAATTTTAACAATTTTTTTAACAATCGGAAATAATTCTTTTTTCTCACCTCCCTGTTTGATATCCAATCAGTGGATTTAAACAGACCGAATATGTCGACTTTCCCTAACCTATGAAACAAATTTTAGCTTTAAATATGTCGAATTTATGATTTAACCAATAGGCCAGTCAATCTGGAGGCTGAGGTGGAATAAATTAGTAACCAACCGATCTCAACGGGAATGAGTAGATAATGATCTCCTATTTAACCCTTCAAAAGTCCCATTCGGTCCCAGTGGGGGAAGATTGAAACAAATCGCCGCCATCTTGGATTTTTTCGTTTTTTTCAGATATATCCGTTTGCATAACTTTTTTCGAAAAAACTAAAGATATGTTTTTTGTAGAGAATTCATCAATTTAGAATATTCTACCTTCAATCATTTTTTTTTTTCTAAAATAAATAGTAATAGAGATAGAGCAATTTTTTACTACTTATATCTTTTATAAATTTTCCAGTTTTTTAAACCAATCAGCTATAATTTTTGCGTTAATAGTATAGTGTAAATAAAGATAAACCACAAGTATAAATTTAAGCATTAAAACAATTAAAAATAACGTTAAAATACTATTTATTAAATAAAATTATTGTTAAAACAATTATTATTAAATTAAAGTTATTAAATAAAATCTGCTATGGCGTCATCCTGAGCGTCATTTTCCGCTTCAACTAAAATACAAAAGTTTGTGCAACTGATTCCGTTGCACTGACCACACTTTGCAGAACATTTAAGACCCAGTTTTCTACAAGAGCAATTTTTAGAGCACTGATCCTCTTTGCAACTGTAAAAAAAATATTTTAGTAGGTCAAGAGGCGCCACATCTTCTGTTGATTGAATAGGTGTCAGATTGCCTTTTGATCTTTCTTGCATCCATATTCTAAAAGATCTTACTTGTTACCAATCTCTTCTTGAATCTAAAAAATGCAACTTAAAACATTTCCTATAATAGCGATATATCTTTACAGTTACCTGATAGCATGCCCTGAGTAAATTGAGTTTTGCAGAGTTCTCAGTTGGAGGCAAATTAGCTAAATTAAAGGTAGTCTGAAGGGCTTGTTCTGATGTAACCCTACTATATAGAGTGTATCTCAGATAATTAGTATGTTTAATATAGCTTGGGCAGTGATATAGCTTTAAAAGATAATTTAATCCTGACTGAAACCAGTCATCTATTTTCAGTATCGACAGGCACATTTTTGACTTGTTCTAGTCAGAATTAAATTATTTTTTAAAGCTATATCACTGCCCAAGCTATATCAAACATATTAACCATCTGAGATACACTCTATACAATAGTATTACATCAAGACAAGCCCTTACGACTACCTTTAATTTAGCTAATTTGCCTCCAACT